AAAAATTTTGAGATAAAAATTTGAGATGAAAATTTAATACCAATGATATAATTTATGTTATATTAAATTTATTTTTATATATAATATCATGAGTTAAAAAAAAAAAAAAAAGAATCAATTATTAAATAATATAAGATTCACATTTTAATATTTTAAATAATACAACTTATATCACATTATTAATCTTAAATTTAAATCTCAAATTTTCATCCTATTTATCATTATTCTTAATACTACCTATTTCTACATTTTTTTCCCAAATCTCTGTATATCTCTTCCCATTTAGGCTTCAGCAGCCTTTGAACCAGAGACCTTTGGGCCAGGAAACTAAATTCCCAGCCGACAGGCCTATGGGTTTTTTGGCCTTCAACAGGACTATGAGGTTGGTCCTTGGAGATGAGCTTTTTGGGCTTTTATTAATTCTTGTGCACGTGGGACCCAAATCATTGTCTTCAGGCTCTTCGCATGTGTCTTTTCTTTTGGCCAATATTTTTAGAATCAATAAAACATGAAAAATGAAAAATAAGAAATTTTATACTCCGTACTTTCATCTTAGTTCTCTCATTTTTTTACTCTACACATATTTAAAAAATTTAAGATTGATTAAAGTTTTATAATTAAGTGTTAACATAACACATTTTTTAAAGTAAGGAGTAAATTTTTATTACTTAAAATATATTAATGCAAAGGCTCATAATTCATTTAAAAAGAGTTATTATTTAGTTATGTGTACAGTAAACAAGACAACTAAACAATGATAACTAACAAAGCATTTTTTTATCTTTATAAATAAACTTAAATAATAGGAATAAAATTGAAAAAATAATATTTAATGTCTTATTTAAATAAAAAATAAAACAACTAAATTAAAACATTTAAATTTAATAAATAAGACAACTAAATTGAAATAGATAGAATATTATTTTTTAAACTAAACATGCTCTAAAGTAATAATAATGATAATTTGGTACGATAAAATGTTTATTTTTTAAATTACTAAAACTACTAAGAAGGTAAGACAAATGGCAGGAGAAAATATCATAGGAAGAACATGCATTAATTCCCTTTTAAGTATCATTTAATTTGAGAAAAATAGAATTCTTTTTCTATTCCTCTTTTCTTCTAATTTTTTTTTTAATCTAAATAAAGAAGGTTCCTCCTTCTCCTTAAAATCAAACACACTATATAAACAAAAACTATATCATTCCGCCAAATGACATAACCACTAAAAAGTTATGTTTTTTGTATTTTATTTTTTATTTTTTTGGAGAGAAGTTAGTTATTTTCCTATTAAACTTAAACAGGATAGTGGCAGTCCGTAATCAAAGTTATCTTTATAAGATTTTTTGTAATGTATTCATTTTCTTTTCAGTTTGGCTTATAATAACGCTGGAGCCTTTTAATTCTTTTTTTTTTTAATATATAATTTTGTTGCGCGTATCATAATATCCTGCACGTGATTAGCATCCTGTTTATCAGAAACTGTCAGTACAATACTCTGCCACTTTTAGATTTTTTTTTTTTTTTTTTTTTTTGGTGGATCTGCCACTAATTGATTTACTAATATACCATTGGGAGTAGCATGTTGGAGTGTTGGGAATGCAGTATGCAATTTATAGGGGAAGATTAACAGAATCTCTTTTGGAGCGCTCGTGTTTATGCCCAGGTAACAATAATCTCAATTTCAAAGCATTTCACTTTATTGATATTAGTAACTACTTCTAATTCTTGGAAATAATATACTTTCAGGGTTGGATAAAAGAATCAAAGCAAGTTTACAAGCAATTTGACCTGGCAAGCCAATGTACCCACAAAAGTTAGACATTCATACTTTCTTCTCATTTCTATTTACATTTGTTAATTAATTATCATTGATTAATATTTAGATTTTGGATAATAATTGATAAAGTTTTAAATTCAATTACATAATATACTCATTAAAAATTATTAATTTTAAATTTAAATTAAAAACAGAAAAACTAAAAATTGTAGACTTTAATAACTAAAACTGACAAGCATTATAGGATATGTTAAATTAAAAATTGTATCAATTATTTTTCATTATTATGTCATGACGTCATGTATCTTACTAAAATTCACTTGATCAGGCACAAGCCATTGGGAAGGCAACAAGCGAATTTATTCAATGGGAGTTGAAGATGGACTATGTATATGACTACATTTTCCATCTCTTGAATGAGCATGCCATACTCTTGAGATTCAAGCCTTTGGTGCTTACAAATGTAGTTGAACTCTGCTAAGAGTATATGTCTTGTCGGGAAAAAGGATTAGAGAAGAAATTTATAATGGAATCCCCAATGAAGAGTTCTTTAGACACAAGCCCATATAGGATGCCGCGTCCTAATGATCCTGCTTTTCTTAATACAATGCTCAGGACAAAGATTCAGTAAAACAAGTAGATCCATTGGAGAAAAAATTTTGGGAAAACCAACAAGAGTAAAACAAACAGGGGTGGTGAGAGTATTGAATAATTCTGTAATTTCATAATATACAAATTAGTATTAAACAAGCTTGGCTTATTTTTCCTCTATTTATATAGAACAAGAATAATTCAACCTCAAACATTGATAGTAAATACTCTCCATAAACTAGAGACAAACCAAGAGTATACAAATGAGAATTAGAAAAACTTCACATGGTACAAACAAGCACGCTAATTCGAAACATAATTTAGTAACAAATGGAGCATCAATAACATACTCCATATATAACTCACTGATCACTTGGGTTACCACTAAATATCTTCAATTGTGCCACTTTCAAATTCATCTGGGTTGCCATTGAACATCTTGAATTGCGCCACTTTTAGTTTTATAACCATAAGGATCCAGTCTCTAACATCATCCACCCATTGGAAATAAGCACATCTCCAACTTTGCATAACAATCAAAGTTCCCAGAACCCCCCAAAATCCAGTTGCAAAACCTAACATCACAACAATATAAAACCACATTTCTTCGAATACACCTTCATCATTGTCCTTGGAGCCAATAATTGTTGGAGGCAGCACATCATCTGAACATTTCTTTAGAAGTGGAGCTCCACAAAGTTGAGGGTTGTTGGCATAAATAGTTGGATCTTCAAGTGTTTGGAGCTGATTGCCTTTTGGAATTGACCCTGACAAGTTGTTGTATGACAAGTTGAGGTGGCTCAACTTAGTTAAACTTGATATGCTGTTTGGGATCGGTCATGAAAGGTCATTTTGAGAGAAATCAATAGATTCCAAATTCTCCATTTGTCCAATATTATTAGGGATGTTTCCCTTGAGGTGATTCCATGACAGATTCAAATTGTGCAATCCTTGAAGAAAAACTAGTTCATCAGGAATGGATCCTACTAGATTGTTACTCGAAATATCTATACTACTCTGAAGTCCTAGTGGTTTTTTTGTATACTCAAGGTATCTCCCTTTCACAACTTCCATCAAATGTGCCCAATTCCAACATTCTCCATCCATGTGAAGGATCAATTGTGTTGCATTCACCATATTTGAGAAATTTCCAAAACAAGGAAGAATTGCTCCTGTCAGATTGTTATCCGCAAGATCTAGAATTTGCAATTGAGAGAGCAAGCATACTTCTAAGGAATATTACCAGTAAATAAATTTTTTTGTAGTCGAAGAACCTTTAAAGAGTGGATCTCATGCTCCCGAATCCATGTTTGTTTCCAGAGAATTTATTCTCACCCAAATCCAATACCACCAAAGAACTAAAGTTTTTCAAAGCCATATGTAGTTCCCCATAGAGACTATTGTTGTTTAACTGAAGTACATGTAAAAAATTAAGCTTCCTAATTATATTCGGAAATAAACCTGAAAGATTGTTAGAAGATAGATCCATAAGATAGAATGCTTGATCATTTCTCCAACAATCAGGAATACTTCCAGATAACATATTGTTTGAGAGATCAAGAAGTTCTAAAGTTTTTGAATTGCATAGTGACTTTGGAATTGAACCATTTATAAGGTTATCTGCAAGAAGTAAGTGTCTTAACTGAGGCATCATATGACTTATGTTTTCTGGAAGAGGTCCTAAGATGCTAGCATTTGAGAGATAAACCATGTATGACGTGTTCTGCAATTGAAGCCATTAAGGAAATCCTGTTCCAAATTTACAAGATTGCATCCCAATATATTGAAGGTGGAAAAGAGGTCTCCAATCTGATTTCATCTCACAATTCAAGTTGTTAAACCCAATGGACAACTCTATCAACTTGAATAAGTTTGTAAAGTGAGCTTCTGAAATGACACCTTCCAAAGAATTATATGCAACATCCAAGACTTGCAAATTGGAAAGTTTACTAATACTATTTGGAATTACCCCATTCAATTTATTTGAAGAAAAGCTCAAATACTCTAAGTTAGAAAGTTTCCCGATACTATCTGGAATACTTCCATTCAATTGATTGTAAGAAAGATTTATGTGCTTTAACTTGAAAAGTTGCCCAATGCTATCTGGAATACTCCCACTCAATTGATTCTCAAAAAGATTTAATTTTTGGATGGCCAACGACTTCCCAATGCACACAAGAATGGTCCCATTCAACGCATTCATTGAAAGACCAACTCTCTTAAAGATGAAATTGTCCCAAGAGAACTTGGGATTGGACCAACAAATGCATTTGAGCTAAGATTAAGGTATATTAGCCTTTTGAGCTCCCCTAACCAATTAGGCATAAGACCACTTATGTTATTTTCTCCTAAATCCATAGTCTCTAATTCATATCTAGAGCATTCAGATGACCTTTCAAGACCACCTACCATCTCACCTTCAAGTTCATTGGATGTCAAAATAATGATTTTAAGCCACACATATTTCTTAAGATTGATAGCAACAATACTTCTGTAATATTACCACTAAAATGGTTCCTTGAAAGATCAAGAAATGTCAAGGAAGTCATGTTTTGGAGAAAAATAGGTATTGGACCTTGAAAAGAGTTCCGTGAAAGATCAAAGTGTTGAATTTTGCCAAGAAATGTAAAATTAAGGGGATGGTTGGTAGATGGTAGGTGAGAATTTTTGAGACTACAACTTGACAAACTTAACCATGATATTGAAGGAAGCATGCCAAGTACTTGGAACAAGTTTGATGATGTGAGGCTTAGATTTACTCCACTCATATCAAGAAATGTCAAGGAAGTCATGTTTTGGAGAAAAATAGGTATTGGACCATGAAAAGAGTTCCATGAAATATCAAAGTGTTGAATATTTCCAAGAAATGTAAAATTAAGGGGATGACTACCAGATGGTAAGTGAGAATTTTTGAGATTACAACCTGATAGACTTAACCATGATAATAAAGGAGGCATGCCAAGTACCTGGAACAAGTTTGATGATGCAAGCATTAGATTTACTCCACTCATATCAAGTTGTTGCAGAAAGGATAGATGAGAAATCCACTGAATGTCATCATCAACCTTCAATGCTCCACCATAATAGTCAGCAAGATCAAGAACACGAAGCCTCGTAAGGTTTCCAAGTTCACTAGGAATTCTTCCTCTAAAATGAGCATGAGAGAGATTTAGGTACCGTAGCTGCTTCATCAAACCAAAGGAGTGCGGAATAAGGCTTTTGTTGAAGTAGTTTCTGCTCAAGTCCAGGTGTTCCAAGTATTTCAACATGAGCAAACTCGAAACAACCTCCTCAACATTGTCAATCAAGTACAATTGAGGTTGATCAAATATTGATCCCTTGAGTTGAATTGAGACAACATGATGGCCATTCTTGTCACAGCCTACTCCTCTCCATTCACAACAGTCATTGCCTTTCCAAGAAGACAACATATGCGATGGATCATGGAAACAAAGTTTCAACTTCAATAGGGCTTCTCTCTCCCTTTCTATACAGCTAAAGCTCGTGTTCCGACCGGAACAGAATTCTGCAATACCAAAGAACAATACAGCAACCAGAACAAACATAGAATGGAAAATTTCCCTCATGATTATGGTTTCAATAATATTGTATGGGAAATGAGAAGTATTTTTAATTTTGCTCGCACCCATTAATATATAGTCCCACGGATAAGTACAAGGTACGTAAAACAACTATCCCCTAAGTTACTCTAAAGAAAAAGATTCCAAGTGAATGACTATTCTCTTTTTGCTTTTTGAAATCTTGATGTCTCAAGTTCTTTCTCCAAGACTGGAAGTCTTTTTGGTCTTAAGTCAATTTAATTAATTAGTGAGGAGACACGATTTAGGTTGTGAATCATGCTCGCAGTAGGGTTGGCTAATTTTATTTCTCCTTTTCACAAATATTTTGCCACACATAATGAAGCTTTTACAGTTCTTGTGCTACTGTTGTGAAATGTGAAGACGAGAAAAGCCCATTGCCCATCTTTGCGCCCAAAATACAAGTTTTACGGGTCTTGCGC